AATCCAACCCGGCCCTCCTAGGACAGAGACACATTATAAAGGCATTTTTGCCTCTAGCTCCCATCAATGACTGTGGTGTCCCCAGGCTTTTAATCTGATAGAGAAGATGAACAATTCTGACATTCAGAAAGGATGCTTGACACATCAACAAGACACTGGTCTGGAAATATACCCCCCACCACCTAAGAATAACACAGATATAACACTCCTAAGCTAAGCGTGAAACCAAGCTGTTCCTTGGAGACAAAGATTCTGAAGCTCCGTCTGACATACTGTGGCCATGTTGCAAGGTGAGACCAGTCCTTGGAGAGAGACGTCATGCTTGAGAGGGCGGAGGGACAGCTCAAGAGAGTAAGACCCTCAATGAGACGGCTTGATTCAGTGACTAGATGTGTAAATGTGTCTGAGATAATGAGATCTCACAGAATAGAGCAGAGTTTAGGGCTGTTGTACATGGGCATGCTATGAGTCGCAGGGGACTTGACAGCACATAACAGCAATAACAACAACAAGAGGGGTGCTGGGGGCAGGGAGAGAAGGGATAATTTTATTATCTTGGTTAGAAAGGGAAGCTGACCCCTTCTGAAACTTTGGCTTGACCCTTGGGAAGATCATCATCCTTGAGAGCCGTCAACTGGTTGTTTGAATTTTGGTCACAACTATCTCTTTGGATCAGCTAAAGAGAGGAAGACCCTCAACAAGACAGATGGACAGTTTCTTGCAACAGTGAACTTGAGCATGGAAATAGGTCGTGATGACAGAGCACAGGATAGGGCGAGTTTCCTGTCTGTTGTTCTTAGGGGTCACTATAAGTTGTAGTCAACTCAATGGAACCTAACAACTATACCATGTCTCCTTAATACTCTTGATCTTGAGAGCTGAGTATAATAGCAGCAGTCATGCTGACTTATAAACAGCAATAAAATACTGACTTGGACATGGAAAATCCAGCAGTGGTTCCTATGCTCTTTGAATTGGTGCTTAGATCCAACTCTACCCTTTACTACCTGTATCGTTAGGCAAGTTAATTCTGACAAGCTTCACTTTCCCCAAGTGTTAGATCAAGATGTAAAACAGTCCCTCTGTCAGGAGCTTAAACCAATGCTTCCACCAAGCCATTAATCATAATTAATCATAACGTACTTAGTCCAGAGTCTGGCGCATAGACATACTGTCAACACATAAATGCTACTTTCCATTCTATCACATCAGCATCCTAATGGGCCCACCCACAGCATTCTTTTTTTTTTTTTTTTGCATCTTCATCAGATAACTGTAATTGATTAACTCAGAATCTTGTTGATTTCCTTGTTGTTCCTGTCCAACAGCTCTGAAGCCTGCCTTGTCCTGAGTCAATCTTACCGATTCTGACACCCCTACCCCCTTTCCCCAGTTACTGTATCAATCCCTCTCATCCAGGGTCTTTCTCTCCTACGCTGTCTCTCTACCTTCCCAAGCATGATGCTCTTCTCCAAGGACTGGCCTCTCTTGGCCACATGCCCAAACTATGTGAGATGGAGCTTCAAAATCTTTGCCTCCAAAGAGAAACTTGGCTTCACTCTCTCCGAGACAGAACTATTTGTTCTCCTGGAAGTCCATGGTATGTTTAGAACTCTTCTCCAGGACCACAACTCAAAGGCATCAATTCTTCCTCTGTCATTCCTTGTCATTGTCCAGCTCTCTCATGCATAGCAAGTAACTGCAAAGACCATGACCTGGATCAGGTGCCTCTCATTCTCTAGACTGACATCATTGCTCTTTAGCACTTTGGAGAGGACACTGATAGCAGACCTCCCCAATGATTTCCTGATTGCTGGTGCCAAGAGTGTTGATTGTGGAGCTGAGTAAGCTGAAATTGTTAACAATCTCAATCTCTTCTTCATCCATCATGGTGCTGCTCACTTCATGAGAGGAAGTGAAAACACTACAGTGAACTACTCAATTACTTAGAAAATTAAGTCCCAAGCAGGGATGTTCATCCATTTCTTCTGACTCTGTACACTACAGAGTTGTCTCTGCACTCCAGAACTTTCTCAATGCCCTGGATGACTAAATCAAAAGGTGGAGAAATCAAAACTTCATTTAAATGCCTGTAGAAAGGGCCTCCAATGCAGTCCTGAACACTTGCAAGATAGAAACCAAAAATGGAATTTCTTAAGAAATCTGAGTGTCCCAGGATGGTCTTCCACCAGCCTCCCACCAGAGGCCTTCATCACCCGAGGGCATGGCTCTTCTGGTCTGCCAATCAAAAATCAAGCTCCCACTGCCTGAAATACGGAAGAATTTCCTTCAAAGCATTTGAAACTCTCAATAAAAAGGAGCAGTGTTCTATCGTGATCCTTACATAACAAGACTCTCTTCAACCAAAAAAAACACATAGAAACTATCAGGGAAGGGGTGTGTGTGTGTGTGTGTGTGTGTGTGTGTGAAAGAGTTTTTAGGACTGTTTCCTGCAGCATGTTGACTTTGAGGAAGACCCTACAGGATTACCTGTGAAAGTCTGAGTCAGAACACAAGATCTGGGAGGCTTGGTGTTGGTTGGAATGCAGAATGGTTTTATCATTTCTGAAATTGACTTTTGTGCTTCTATAAAGGATCATATGCCTGGGAAGGAGGAGGAAGGTGTTGCAAGAAAGAAGGTGTTGCAGGGACAGGAGGAAATGAGTTCTGAAAAAGAGGGAAGGCTGAGGAAGAGGTCCTCTCACAGCATGTTGTTGTTGTTATATGCGGTCGAGTCACTTGTGACTCATAGCGACCTTATGTACAACAGCCCTAAACTCTGCTCTGTCCTGTGCCAACCGCACTGCCTCTGACACACCCATCCTGATTACCCCAGTCACTGAATCAATCCACCTTACAGCATAGCACTGTGAAAAAGGCCCCTTCCTTAGTCCCCCTATGGGTTTTATTTAGTTTCAGCCAATCATCCTAAAAAGTTCAATCTCCAGGGACTATATTTTCCTTTTACTTAACTGTTGCCAACATAACAATGGGTAAGCTTAATCTTTAAACTAAGCCCAAAGCTCAGACAAGGCATCCCCTCAGGTGGGAGGCTGGGTTGAAATCTCTGTTTGCAGAGGGTGTTCAGTCCTATTTGGACTCTGATTTCAGCTGTGGCACTGCTGTCACTATGCTAGGGAAACCACAGGAAGGCAAGCTTATCAAGGGCAAAGATTTGGGCCAACCTGACGCATAACTAGGTCCTGACTACATGAAACTGTGTTGGAAACATAGTTTTTGTTAGTCACCATCAAGTCAACAAGACTCATAGTGACATATGTACAACTAATAAATCCAAATCTTACCCTACCCCTCACCGCTCTTCATGATCTCTGATATGCTTAAGTAGGCACTCAATAAATACTTCCCGACAAAATCATGGGTATTCATTCACAAGCAGACAGACTCCCCAGATCTTTTCCTAAAAGCTGCCCTTAGTAAAAACCACTCTTTCTGCATAAGCTTGGCTTTTAACAAGACTAGGAGAGACAGCGCAAGCATTAGTCAGTGGTCAATTATGAGCGTGAAGGCAGAGAATTGGGCTTCAAGCCTGAAAGGACAGACTGCTTGGAGTTACAATGGTGCTGATGAGCAGCAGCAGGGACCGTGCTCTGGGTCTGATCAGGTAGAAACTCCCCATATTGTGTTCCATTTCCTTATTTTTATAAATCAGTTGGGAATTATCCCCATCCAATCCAATGACTGCCTTCCAGCTGTCAGAGGCAGTGGTGGAGATAAGTTCTCTTTATTGTTGCTCATCTGATTGTGCCATTTATCTGCAGCTGCTCAGGTGTCTCTGGGGCCCCAGGCCCCTGAGCAAACGTGTCAATGAAGACAGTTTGAGCTCCAGGAGGCGTTCTCCTCCCCTGGGTACACGCCAGGTAAAACTAAGACAGCATGCTGATCTGAGACAGTGAATGAGTCTCTATCAGTTCACGCACAAGGAGAAGGGAGGAAGGAATCAGACTGCAGCCTTCAAAGGCAGCTCATCCAATAACTGGTTCAGGCTGATGCAATCAAAGAAGGTGTCATGTGGCGGGGAAAGGAGGAGGGGGAGGGACAGGGAGGGAAAACAAGGTGTCATGTGACTTAAGCAGACAATGGTCCAAGAGAATAAAATCCCTACAAAGGAGACAGAAGATCAGAACTGTGTTCAAATCCCGTTTTGTTTTTTTATTTTTTTACTTTAGCCTTTAAAATCAAAGTCCCAGTTGCCTTGTTTCTGTGCTGTGGAGTCAAGAATCAGAACAAAGGGCTAAAACTCAGAGGGCCCAGCCTCCAGAGAGATCATGCATATGCATGCAAATCTGAGCTGCCTATTAGAAAGCCACTGACACACACCCCTCAAACCCACCCCCACACCCCAGGGCTGAAGTTCTGTGCTAGCTTTGTCACTGACTTGTGGCCACGTCTTAGCTGATTACTGTGGACTAACATTTCTGTACCTGTGAATTAGGAACAAACTTCTATTATATTTGCTAAAGCTTTGGTATGTGAAAAAAACTTTGAAAAGGATAAAATATTATATAAACATAGGCTATTATTGCGTAGTGGTGGATGAGGTCGTGTGTCATAAAGTCAGAATCGACCCATAGCTGAGCCTTCAGCAGGTTTTCTGAGGCAGTAAATTGCACAGGAGAAGACTGCCCATCTTTCTCTGGTGAAGCATCTGTACAAACCATGTACCATTGTGTTGGCAGGGCAATTCCTTGCTACTAAGCCACCACAAACCCCTCATAATTATTAGATAATTCAGTAATGATTACATGATGATATTCCCACAAGCTTTCATGGTCATCCACCTTCACTTGGCCAAATCTGCTCAATTTCAGGTATAAAGGATCCCCTTTTCCTAGTGTGGGCCAGTCTGTCTCTAACAACAACGACCAACCAAATTTTCCTTTTGTCTTGATAAACAAGTGTCATTGCTGGCAGTTGGGCCACCATGATCTAAGAAACAAGACCAGGTAAGGAGCCCCCAGGGGCTCAGCTTGACTCACGATCCAGCCGCCTCCGTCAGTGTCCATGTCACAGTACACTTGCATGGGCCGGCTGGCGTCGCCATGCACGTAGATGGTGTACAGGCCACTGGCAACGTTGCTGTTCTGCTGAACCTGGCTGCAGTCTGAAGGGTGTGGAAAACGGGCACCAACTGGGAACCAAGCAGAGGGAAGAGTCATTAGGGGACAAGTAAGGGAGAAGTGGAGGAAGGCTTCTTTACTTCAAGACTATGTATACTTTTTTATTTTTTTTATTGAGATTTTAATGAAAGTTTAGAGAAAACTTGGATTTCCATTCATTCATTGTTGCACATTTTCCTCCCTGCTCCCCCTTCCCTCCAGTTAGCTTTTTACTTTGGAAAAAAGTTCTTTCATTGTTATACAGCCACTCCACCCCAAAGATGACTTTACTATGCAGTTCTTATTCGGGACTCTTATCATGCCAATAATATCTAATTATATATTCCTTTTATCCAGTTCTCTCCCTCATCTCTTTCAATGCCATGTACATATTTCACTCAGCATAATGTCCTCCAGAGTCACCCATTTTTAATAATATTTCATGAGTTCCTTGTTTTTCAAAGCAGCATAGTCTTCCAGAATATGAATACACCACAATTTCTCTATCCATTTGTTTGTTGATGGGCACTTGGGTTGTTTCCAGCTCTTTGCTATTGTGAACAAAGCAGCAATAAACATGTGTGTGCATATATCTGCTTGGATGATGGTTATGGTTTCTTTAGGGTATAGTCCCAGTAGTGGAATTGCTGGGTAGACTGTGTCTTCGGTTTTCAAATTATTTCATCACTTCCTTCTGCTCTGTGTCTTCCACCTCTTCACACACATCACATTTGTCACTTATTCTACTCTTGACAGTCCCTCCAAATCCACCAGAACTAAGGTCAAGTTCACTTCTCCTGGTCTAACTCCATCCCAACATTACATTTCCTTTTTCTCCCCTCTTTAGATTTATTTTGAACCTATAATCCCATCTTTATTTCCCCATGCTTAAAAGGGTGGAGAGTCAACGAGGGAGAGGAAGACCTTCAGCCAGGTGGATTGACACGGTGACTGCCACAATGGGCTCTAGTGTGCCAGGAAGTACGAAGATGGCACGGGATACGACAGAGTGTAGATCTGTTGTTCATAGCGTTGCTATGGGTCGTACTTGACTCGACAGCACCTAAAAACAACTAAAGAACCCATAACTCTTTCTGTTTTGTCCTCCTTAGGCATCTTTTTTTTTGTCTTTTCAATGTTCATCCTCCCATTGCATTGCTTTCAGAAGAGAAGATTCCACATTACCTGTGGACAGCGTGGTGGATACACTCCTGCTCCGGCGGTCACCCTTAAATGCAACCAAGGAAACAGGATAGGTGACACCTTGCTGAAGGCCTTGTGACTCAAACTTCCGGTCCCCTCGTCCAAGCTGTACCTCCTGCAAAACAAAGAACATAGCTGATCATTCAACTTATTACCCTCCAATGTTAATAGCATTCCTTGTCGGCAAATGACAGCTCTGTTTGAAAGAGCAGTGGTTAAAGACCCGAGAGAAGTCTAGAATGTCAATGAGCTCTAATCCATTCTCTGCGGGATCAGCTCAGGGTCATGTACTGATGAAAGCACTAGATGTGAGCCCCTTCCAGGAGGTCTCCTGGGGACCTCCCACTCAAGTGGTGGCGCTGTCACTCTTGGACACTGACTGACCACAGCTGGTAGCACTAACAATGCCAGACGACTGGGGGGGAGTGAGCAGGGAGAGGCAAAATTGACCAATGATATGTTGTTGCTGTTGTTTTGTGTCATCCAGTCGCGTGTGACTCATAGTGACCCTGTGTAAAACAGCTCTAAACCCTGCTCTACCCTGTACTAATGATATATGTGAGGCAAAAAGTTGGTTGACATTTCAGTCTACTTCCTTCTGAAGCTTTATTAGTTCTTCTGTAAAGGAAGGACTTAGAAGTATTCCATTGTGTGTGTAAGGAACACATTTTGCGTGCATGCATAACATTTTGTTTATCCATCCACCTGTTGAGATGAGTGTAGGTGCTATGCAGGCTTTGTAAGAATGAGCTGAGACAATGATTGCGTTACTCGGTCAGCAGGAGAAATGAAGTCCTGATAAATGCTGTCGTATTGATGGGGCTGGGAGACATTATGCTGGGTGAAATAAGTCAATCACAAAAGGACAAATAGTCTATGGCCTCATTTATGTTAAAAGGCAAATGAGGACAAAGGTTAGTAGTGGCTTCCAGGCATAGTTGAGGAATTTGTGTGTGTTTGTCTTTGCTATGGCACCAACTGTCTTCATTGGAGGCCACAGAGTGAGAGGGAAACACAACTCCAGCTTCTGAGCGGCGTTCCAAGCAGCGGCCATGAACTTTGAAAGCCTGACTGGAGATTTGAGCTGCCACCTACAAGCCATTTTTCCAGAAAAGGGTGAGGCAGTCCCCTTCTATTATGATCTTCAGCCTGAGAAAACCACTGAGGGTCACTACAGGTCAGAACTGACTCAAGGGCAGTAGGTTTGGTTTGGGAGGGTTTAGCAGGGGCAGGAGACAGGGAAAATATGAGGTTAGCAATGAAATTTTAAAAATAACATTCATTAAGAGCAATGTTGCACAGTCAATTATTGCAACTGCTGTGAATAAGTACACCACCTATAAATAGTTAAATTGGCAAAAGTGGCATAAAATATTTAACACAATAACAAAAAAGAGTAGCTGCTGAGGCAGCTTATGTACAAACACCTTATGGGAGTTGATTCCTTAGTTTAAAGGTTTAAACTTATGGCTTCTTGGGACATGCAATTAATTGGCCTAATAATTAGTGCTTCTGTTCTACCTCCTGTTTCATCGTGTAATGCCTGGAGTCTTAAAAGCTTGCAATTAGCCACTCAAGGCACAACAGTTGTTCTCTGTTTGACTGGAGAACAAGTAAAGAAGGGGAGTCAGGAATAGAAGGAAAATACATAATTTGTGATTAATTGTTTCCATGAACAACTGCCATCTTTGCTGTCAGACCGCAAGAAACGGGTGATGTCCTTCACATTATTTCATATTATTATAAAATAATTCTATCAAAGATTTAAAAGAGAAAATGTAACCAAAAGGGGGGGAAATGCAGAAAAAAATTTCCAATTCTCATGGCTCTCAATTTTCTGAGGTGATTGTTATGGGATAAAATATAAACCTTAAACCAAACAGATCCCCTGAAGTCCTCCTAAAAAGAAGCAAAATGCTATCTTACCTAGTAAAAATAAGTAAAAACCTTGAGCATTATGCTTTTTGTAAATGTTATTGTTGTTAGGTACCATTAAGTCAAGTTTGACTTTAGCAACCATATAAACAACAGATCTGAACCCTGTTCTATCCTGCACCATCTTTATCTTCCCAACACACTTGAGCCCACTGCCACAGTCCAAAACTCAAAGGCATCAATTCTTCTTCTGTCATCCTTATTCACTGTTCAGCTTTCAGATTCACAGCAGGTGTTTGGAAAGACCATGACTTGAAGCAGGTACACCTTAGTCTTTAAATTGGTATCATTGCTCTTCAGAATTCTGGAGAGTTTTCTGATAGTAGGGATGAAATAGACAACAGCAACTCGAAAGATTAGATAAGAAACTTAAGAGGCAGTGAGTTTATGTTAATGAGGAGGAACAAGTCAGTAAAGGAGTGAGGATTGTTGTGCAATTCAAAGAATGTAGTGAATGTCATTGAACTGCACATGCAAAAATGGTTTTCAACAAATGTGTATGTTTTGCTACGTATATTGTTAATGAAAAAAACAAGTAAAATTTAAAAAAATAAAAAACCAAAATACAACCCATAGCACTGATTTTCCTAGCTTGAAGTTCACTGGCCAGATTTGATTTCAGGCCAATGCATCTCAAATCCACCTACACTTGTCTATCAGTGGAGCTTTGAAAGTTCCTAGACTGCTGACCTGTTTTCAGCAGAGCCTGCAGACTAAGACAGACTAGAAAGGAAAGTCTGGAGGTCCCAGGGGTCCCGTGGTCCGATACCACTGTGCTCCAGGTCACTGAGAGTCAGGGAATAATACAACGGCAGCCAACCTCTTTCTTAACCAGGCTCAGCAAACATGAATTGAGATTATTGACAAGTTAAAATGCCCTTCCTTTTTTCTTTCCTCCCCTTTTTCTGCTCTTCCAAGGAGAGATAATAATTTTATATTTGAACAAGTCTGGAACACTTGCAGACCTTCAGATTCTATGTGGTATCTAGAACAACTGAAGTGAAAGTTAATTGGTCTCTCCAATATATATATCTTGAGCACCAACCATGTGCTGGGCACTTTTCTAAACACATTCAATATAGCAATAAACAAAATGTCTCTGCCCTCATGGAGACTACATTGGATTGAAGATGACCAAGCATAAACAAAATAATACACAACTGACATATACACACAAACATGCAATGGTCACCAAGGGTGGTTTCGATCTTTAGTCCTTTAAATGAGACTGCAAGCTTCACAAAGGCTGTGCCTGGCACTTTCCTTGCACAGAGCAGGCGAACAATAAGGGTGAAGGATCAGCAGAGTCCCCTGAGACCAGCAATATTAGATCTCATCATGACACGAGTAGATGGAGGCGTGTTAGCCCACATCAGGTGTTTCACATAGTAGCAGAGTACCAGCACTAAGAGGCAGGACAAGGAGTAGCCAGTACCTTAACGGTGCCGTCTGGGAACTGGAAGGTCAGAATGTAGCCGTCTATCTGAGCTGAGGGAGGTGTCCAGGTCAGTATCCCACCAGACTGCGTTACACCGGATGGGTGGAAGTTTTGCGGAGGGTCTATTTCTAATGAACATGAAAAGCCAGGTGGTTATTATTAAGATGCATCACAGGCAAGAACATTTCTAAAGTGTTAATTTATAGTTTCTTTCTACATTTCTCTTTACTCCCTCAGACAGATAGCAGGTTCTGCTCTTCTTTTCCAAAGGAACTTCCTGACCATCCTCCCTCCGTCCCCAACAAAAAAAAAGTGGATAGCCAATGAGGACAAGGGGATTAAAGAACAGGGAGAAACAAGTTACCAGATGACTCAATACTTCCACTCCCAAGTGTGTACCCTAGAGAAATAAAAGCATATGTCTATACCGAAACCTGCACTAAAATATTTATAACAGCTTTACTTTTAATAAGCAAAACCAAAGAATCAGGGAGTTGGGGGTCTCAGCAGCGGAGGTTTCCTCAACAGATCTCCAGAGAGGGGTGGGGATGGGCAGTACACTCTCAGAGATGGGAGTGCCCCCCCACCTCCACCCCTCCGTGGCTGAATGAGACCTGCAGCTTTGACGGGCCCTGCATAGGAACACCAGGGAGTCTCGGTAATCACCTGCCTGGAAATATGATGTCAGGATTAGATGGGGCTCCTGGCACTGGGAAACAGCCCAAGACTTTACATACTGCCACCAGCAAGGAGCGTGACCCTAAATTTACTGACATTTCCACCTCACAAGCAGAGTTGGGGTTTATGACAGACATTTATTTGGTCTTAAATTCAATATTCCATTTACACATAGAACATTGGGGAGCACTGGTGGCTTAGTGGTCAGCAATCACACTGTCAACCCAAAGGTACATGGTTCGTATCAAGCACCCACTCTGAAAACCCACCACGGAGTCAGTTGTGGGTCAGTTCCGACAGACGATGGTACATCACAACAACAGCAAGTTGCATATCAGGGAGCCCTGGCGGCTACAGACTTGTGCTGCCAACACAAGGGCATGTGGTTTGAATTTACCAGCTGCTCCTGGGTACAAAGATGGGCAATCACCTCCATTGTGTAAGACTGTTGTTGTTGTTGTTGTTGTTGTTAGTACTGCAAGTCAAGTACGACTCATAGCAACCCTATAATCAGCACATCTTTCTCCTATCCTAGCCTATGTCATCCTCATTATTACAGACATACTCAAGCCCATTGCAGCAGTAACTGTATCAATCCACCTCAGTGAGGGCCATTCTCTCATTCATTGACCCTCAACCTTTCCAAGCATGACGTCCCTATCTAAGGAATCTCCTGACAACATGCCCAAAGTATGTGAGATGAAGCTTTGTCATCTTTGCTTCCAAGGACCACTCTGTCTGTATGTACTTCCTCCAAGACATATCTGTCTGTTCTCTTTGCAATCCATGGGATATTCAGTACTCTTCTCCAACAATACAACTCAAAGTCATCCAAGTTCTTCTGTCATCTTTATTCATTCAGTCACATGCATAGCAAGTGACTGAAAAGACCATGGTCTGAATCAAGATCACTTTAGTCCTGTCAAATGCCAGAAGGGTCGTTGATGGACACGTTTCAGCAGAGCTTCCAGAATAAGACAGACTAAGAAGGAGGATTAGCCATTCATTTCTGAAATAGCAAACCTCTCAAAAACGAATGTAATATGTTGTAGTGTTGTTCTGTACCATGGAGTGGGACAGCAATGCAACATATCACACTGGTTTTCAGAGGTCTGCTATCTCAGAAAACCCAATGAAGGGTCGGCTATGTGTTGGTTCCCCTAGATAATACAAAACAGCAACAATGACATTTACATATCTAACTGTATGACTTTAGATACATAACTGCTATATAAAAACTAGAGGAGAGGAAAGAGACTTATAAAGAAGAAAAGAAAGCAGGAAAGGGAAGAGGAGGAAAAAAAATAGAGCTTTCCCTTTGATTCCTATTGCATTTCCCCACCCAGACACCAGAGGGCATATGTGAGCAGGTGTGTCTCCCCATTGTTGTTAGGTGCCGTCGAGTCGAGTCATAGAACCTTATGAACAAAAGATCTGAACCCTGTTCTATCCTGCACCTTCCTCACATTTCCTGACACACAAGAGACCATTGCAACAGCCACCATATCAATCCACCTGGGTGAGGGTCTTCCTCTCCTTTGCTGACCCTCAACTCTTCTCAGCAGCATGTCCTTCTCTGAGGAATACTTGCTCCTAGCAACATGCCCAAAGTATGTGAGGCAAAGTCTCATCATTCTTGCCTCCAAAGAGCATTCTGGCTGCACCCTGTCCAAGACATAAAGCAGGGAAATGAAAGCTCAGCCAAAATGTTAGTCAGCAAAATAAGATTTTGGTAAGTAGAATCTTTTTTAAAAAATATTATGAAAATAAAATAAGAATGGAAATTTCCATTTTGACAAGAACATTATTATAGAAGGTGATTTTAATTTAGAAGTTTCCAAAAAGGATGTCTGCAGGCTATTTTTTACCCAGTAGCGTTTCAGCTGAGAACAAAATTGCAGTATTTTAATAGAAATCAGGCAGCTTTTGTTTTGAATTAAAGTGTTTTGGCAAATTTTGAGTCTCTATAATATCTGCTTGGCTTGACTTTTTAAAGTGTAACATCTGCACTGGATTTTATTCTATCTGTCACATGGAAAGACTGAATTTCCTGCTTTCAAAAATCAATTGAAACCATAACTATTTAAAGTCTGTCGTGTTGGTTTTTTTAACCTGGTTTATGCCACCTCTTTGCCCACCTGTTCCCCCCCCCCACCCTCCCCCTACCCCCGGTTATAGACTAGCAATGTCTGTCTTAGTTATTCTCACATTTATCTATGAAGAGATCATGATCTTATTATTCTTTTCTTTAAAACGGGGGGGGGGGGGAGGAAAAGACAAGAAAAGAACATAGGAGAGAGGAAAAGAAGGCAGAAGAAAGGAAGAGGAAAACACTGTTTACTGGCTAACTCTGCCTGGAAGCTCTGGGAACTAGAGACTCTTGATGAAGTTTTTCATTTTACACCTCCTTGCTTATTTTAAGGACTCGTGGGGGAAGGGGGGAGAGAAATTCACTGCTGTCAAATCTGAACCAAGACACAGCTAAGCCTCTATTGGGCTTCCCAAGTTGTAAATCACAAGAAAATCTGTCTCCCATGGCGCCAAGGGTGAATCGGAACCAGAGGTGCTTGCCTTTAGGTTAACAGAGCAACTCCCTAAAACTACGGCCCCAGAGCTCCCCCTGATGGCGTAGAGCATAACGTACTAGCTGCTCTCTGAAAGGTGGGCAATTTCAATCTACCCTCAGCCCCAAGGGAGAAAAAAAGTCTTCCCCTTGCTGCAGAAGGTCAAGGACTGCAGCCTTCAATATGGATTGAGGCTCAATATCAAGGAATAAAAAAAGATTCTCACCCTGGGCCGATCATGATAGATGGTGAAGAGATTGAAACTGTTAACACCTTTAGATTGCTTGGCTTCACAATCAACACTCTTGGCACCAGCAGCTAGGAAATTAAATGATGAATTGTGATGGGAAAGTCTGCTGTTAGAGACCTCTCGAAAGAACTGAAGAGCAACCATGCCAGTCTGGAGACTAAGGTACACCTGATAAAAGCCATTGTCTTTACAATCACTTGCTATGCATCCGAGAGCTGGACAATGACTAAGGATGATAAAATGAGAATTGATGCCTTTGAGCTGTGGTGCTGGAGAAGAGTATTGAATATACCTCTGACTGCTAGGAGAATGAACAGGTTCATCCAGGAGAAGGTTAAACCAGGCTGCTCCTTAGAGGCAAGGATTATGAAGCTTTATCTGACATGCTTTGGACATGTTGCAAGGTGGGACCAGTCCTTGGAGAGGGACATCGTGCTTGGGAGGGTGGAAGGACAGCGCAGGAAAGGAAGACCCTCAATGAGATGGATTGATTCAGTGACTGGGGTAATGAGAGTAGGTGTGTCAGAGACAATAAGATTGGCACAGGACAGAGCAGGGTTTAGGGCTGTTGTACATAGGGTCGCCATGAGTCGCAGGCCACTCGATAGCACATAACAACAACTTCCTCTAAAGGTTTACAGTCTCAGAAATCTAGTGCAGGCTCGGAATTAGTTGGAACTTGTGGTGGAGTCTGTAGGGAGTTGTACCCCTCTAGTGGTTCATTTACACTACCAACTCCAAGAGAGAAACATAGATACCCTCCCCCCAGTGTGATTTAGAACTTCAGAAACCCAATGGAGGGTCAAATATGAGTCAGTTTCAACTCAATGATCACAAGAAAGAGAATGAGACTCAAAGGTAATAGGATGTGGGTTTTCCTCAGTCTGACTTTTTTTACTATAGTATATATTATTTTCTTAATAAAAATTCTTGCTACTGGTAGACAGTCTACTATCACCTCTATTTTGAAGGATGGAATCAGAAGAGAATCCTTTCTATAGCTGAAGTCAACCTGGTTCCAGTATCAAGGCAGAGCCTGGAATCTGAACTGAGGAGAGGATCTGGTGAAAGGGGGAGACTACCCTTGCACATCAAACCTTCTAGAAGAGTCTCAATGTCTTCCTTTCACACTGTTTCATGTACACTCTTCAGTCTGAACAACTAGTATGTCAACACATGACCTCAAAAAGTAAAAAGAGACCACTTTGAAAAATTATTTGAGGTGAATCAACTGTTCCCTCACAACCGTTTCTACTGATATTGGTGAAGTGTTTCTTGCCCTTGCCCCTCACAGTACCTGTTAGGGCCTTGGTGTCAGCTTTCCTGCTCTCCCGGCTCCCCTTCTGCGCCCACACGTGCACCGTGTACTCCACGCCCGGCCTCAGGCCCGTCAGCTCCGTGCTGCTCCGATCCTTCCCCACCGGGACCTCCTTGGTCTCTCCGTCGGCAGAGGTGTAGCGCACGATGTACCGGTCAATGATGGCCTGCACGGGGTCCCAGGACACGGTGGCTGTGTTCTCTGTCACGCGGTCCGTCACCAGATTTTTGGGGCTGTCAATTTCTTTTTTACCAGTTGAGAAAAGGCTAGACTTTAGAACCAAGGGAGAACACTCACCACTCACCCACCACCCCAATACCACGAGTTTTCCCCTCAGGTTATCTTTCATAACAAAGCAAGTCCACTGAAAGCAGATGGAAAGGTCCCTGGTTCCTATTTTCCAGGGACGCAAACCACTACACAGTAAAAATAAAAGCAAACATATCTTCTCCAAGCTGACCGAAATGGAAATGTTCTGTCCTTGTGGTTCCCTCAAGAATAACAATAAAAATCTCCTGAACAACAAGATAAACTGCCAACATTTTCTGTTGAACAAATCTCTTCAATAGTCTCCACAGTATCTGTTTCGTTGCACAGAATTTGAGGACTGAGAAGTCATTCTCTTTAAATTGTGTATTTTATAAAAGGAAAGAAAAACTGAGGACTAGAGAAAGACATTTATACACGACCCCGCTGTTTTCTTGTCTGAAAAACCAAAACCAGAGGCTGTTTTTGTAATTCTGGGTCTACCCACATTTCATATTTGGCTCGTGTTTGGTTTCCCTCTCTTTCCAGCCTTATCAATCTCTCCTCCATCATTCTTTCTGAATAAACAGTTATGAACTTCCTTCCTAGATTTCTTACCTTTCTCAGTTCCTCTCCACAATAGACTTAAGAGAACTGTCTTCGTACCTAAAATTGACTTCCTCACTTCCCATTCATTCAACTTTGCCTTCTTTCTATACTGTTGTTGTCATTAAGTACCGAAGAGTTGCAGAAGACCCATAACAACTCTATGAATGAATGTCTTGAATGCAAAACTTTCATCTTTTCTCCAAGTTCATAGTGTTTCTGGAGGCAAGCTTTTTTGTTGGAAGTGGATGCCACTCGCCAACAACTTTTATGTTGTTGAATCCATTGAGTATTTCCCATCCTCTCAAAATTGATCTGCTTCTGGACACACTCTCAGCACGTGACTTTCATGACGAGGATCTCCTGGCCTTTCCCCTGACTCACTGATCCTTCTCAGTCCCTTCTGCAAATAAACTGTAAATGCTGGAGCATCCAAGACACTCTTTTCCTCTCTATCACCTCCATGTCTCCCTAGAAGGTTTCATCCATTTCTATGACTTTAACTACCAACTTCTTTATTGCTTCCAAATTTTTATTACTGCTGAGCCTTTGACTTATATCTGCATATCCACTACAATGTCTGGATCATACAAGACACTCAAAAAGTATTTGTGAAATCAGTAAGCAAATTGCTCATTTAAATAATGAATTGTATGAACATTTGAAGCGTAAGCATCTAAAATTTTTAACCACTCTTCTCAAGCCTATTTATTACTCAGGCTTCCTTTTCAAAAACTGACATCTTATATTAACACTGACGACACACAGGAGTCATACTTGATTTCTCCCTATCCCATAATCCAAGCACAATTATTGTTGTTTCAACCTCTGAAAGATATCCCCAGACACCTTCCTCTTCTCCAGGCCTCCAGTTGTCACATTTTCCACATCATCATCTTTATCCAAACTTTTTTTTTTTAATTTAGGTTGTTTATTTTTCATTTCAATGAACATCTACAGAGATTTTGGGATTCCATTCATTCATTGTTGCACCC